ATGAACGCGAAGAGACAAAACTTCTCCTCAGAAGATCAAACGTAAAAAGGGGGCGCTCATTAGGGGGGGAGCAAGGGAATATGCCCGCGTCTGCCTAATACGCACATAATAGGGTACCTGTTCCTTACGCTACGAGTGGCGTGTTTTTTTTTGTTTCAAAACATTCGCGAAAACTACCTTGCTGCTTGGTAGATCTGAATTGTTGAGATTGAAGTGCATTTTTAAAAAATATACGAACAACCCCACTGCAGTAACATAAGAATTAAGGATCAATTGTACTTTCAACACGAATCTAAGGACACCCCAAATGTCAAAAATCATCAAGCCGTTTGGACTGTACCCCGTGAAATAGAAATCTCAAAGTTGCAATTGGCACCATTTTGGTTACATAAAATTTTAGCTGTAGCTAGGATTAAAGTCCTCCATTTTGATTTTATAAAAATTAGTAATTCAGTGTCACTCGCTTGGTCAAGACAAATCTAAGGACACCTCATATGTCAAAATCCATCCCTCCGCTATTTTGTAGCTCTGGTATGAAGCCTCTACAGCCGCAAATAGCTAAGATGGCCCTGCCCATTGCAGTAGAATATGAAAGTATCATAACGATTTTATTGACGTTTTGGGTGCCACGATTGCATTTATCAATATACTTAGATAGTACACACACAAACATTTTAAATACCATGTAAAACACCTGGTGAAGAACGTATTAACTTTTATCGTGTTGCCTAAAATTCGTAGGAAATTCAATAATCTATAATCAGCTGCAGATCGTTAAAAATCCATTATACTGTTCGGTCGCAGCACATAAGCGTATTGGAAAAAAAAAATCGTTTTTATCTTCAGCGTCAGAAACGTGTGATGCATCTGTTTGTTGTGATCAAATCACGGAACTTAGGCCATTTTGGGATTACGTCACAACGAATGTAACGTTTTTAGTCAAAGCTCAAAATACTCTCCAGTTTTAAACTCGCCTGCGCGTTATTACGGTACGAAGACGAGAACTGGGTCTAGAAGTTTAGTCAGTGGGTTTTAATGACAAAAAATATGGGATTATGTAACTTAACGTTTTAGTCCAACTGTACTTTTTAGCAGGGTCTTCCCACTTCAGTTGGCCCACTTCAAGATTTGTACCAAAATATGCCTTTATAAACTAATGACGAAACTATTTACTTCTCAAACAATTTATTTTCTCAAAAACATTTTAGATACACTCTAGTCGTAAAAAATACATATTTGAAATCACTTAGACCTATAACTAATAGAACATCTGAACAAATAAACAATGTGCGAATAAATGCGCGAAGTTAACAAAGCAACAATTGAAAGATTACCATTGGGTAACATCACCTTTATTTTTAAAACAATCCCATATTTCTTGAAGCTTTTGTTCGGTGATTGTACGAGCAGGATGTTGTCGTAGAACCTTTTTCATCTCGTGCCACAAAGTTTCAATACGTGACAGACAGATCTGGACTGCTAGAAACCCATTTCAAAAGTGGTACATTATTTTCTTCCATCCATTTTATAGCCTTTTTTGAGGTATGGCACGCTGCACCATCTTTCTGAAACACAAAATCTTGGCCGGATGTCAAACATTCTTCCATCACTGGTAAAAGCGATTCTTCTAAAATTGCCAAATATTTGTGTGTATCCACATTTCCATCAATAATATGAAGTTTTCCTACTCCTTTTGATGACATACTGTCCCAGACCATAATGGATCCTGGAAATTTCACTTTTCTCTTCAGACAGTCAACATGGAATGCCTCATTTTTTTTGCGAATAACTCTACTGCGATTTTCACCAACACAAACTTCGAATCGGGCCTCATCAATCCATTGTATTGCACACCATTGTTGAGGTGTCTATTGTCTATGTTCTTTAGCCCATCTAAGCCGATTTTTCTTTTGCAGTGGAGTTAATTGTGGCTTTTCTTTGGCCTGTAAACAAGTTGTGCAACTTTAGGGTTTTTACTTCACTTTTACCTTGCAAGTGCTAAATCCCAGTTTGTGGGCGTCTCTATGAGTTGTGGACCTCGAAATTCTCCTTCCAACAGCGTCACTCCACAGAGCACTTAATTGTAAATAATTGGTACGCCTGTTTTTCACGATTATTCTTCTTAATACTCTTCGGTCGGCATTTGTGATATTACTTTTTTTCACATATCGTGGCTTAATATTAACTAAACCAGTTACGTTATATCTTCTAACAATATTTCTCACACTGTACCGCGATAAGTCTAACAAACTTGCAATTTCTGAGTTTGATTTCCCAGAATTAAAAAATTTAATTATCAGTAACCCAATTTTCTTACTAATAACCTTTTCTCTACCCATTTTGAAAACCTTAACTACCCAAAACTATTTTAAACGTATTCTGTCAGCTGTGATTAATAAAAACAATTGTCATGGCTTTTATTTTTCATAGCCACCTATGCGTTATAGACTTATTTTGCATTGAAATGAAAATAGGTTGATAAGCTGTAATTGCAACATGTGTTATTTTTATGCTGCAAATTTGATTTGGGAGTGATAAAGTTGGTGTTTTCTACTATATATTATCAAAATATTCATTGTTACTATTTTAAACCTATAACACCGTGCTACATTTTTATTGATTGTGATTGATAAGGAAAAACTAAGAATTCAATAGTTGAAGTGGGAAGGGGCTCGTACTTAACGTAATTCCAAATCGACAAAAAAATTGACTAAATGCTCGCTAAGTCGGAGGTTTATCCGGCTATCCAATTTCATAATAGCACTGCAGGGGCTCTTGACCTTACAAAATTTCCGACTATTCCTACCCAACTAAATGATGCATCATTTTTGCAATAGTCCACCTAAAATTGCCTAGCCAATGTCTGATGACTTTTATTCTTATCGGAGTTTGGCGACGATGTATTCCTTTTGAAACTGGCTGAATGAAACGCACTTGAAGACCCAAATTTAGCAGAATTTCGGACTTCTACCGATACTGTCGGCCATTTCGCGACCCACCTGAACTCACTCTTCTGTGATTTTGAGTTTCGTCTAAGAAAGATTCTTAGACTTCTCCTATTTCTGATCTGGAAGGATTTAGTCCTTTTTTCTGCCTACGCCAATGGACGAGAAAGTATTTCGAGATATTATGTTTTTTTTGTTTTGGATGTTATATGACATGTAAATCACCTGTCTCTCTGTCTGATCGTCTGTCTGTCTATCTGTCTGCCTGTTTGTGTATCTGTATGTCTGTCTGGTAATCCTTGGCCCCTCTAAACATTGGAAAGTACTGCTCAGATTTCGTTTTTTGACGTTTCAGAGGTTCCTGATCATTTTTGAAAAAAATTTTATTGGTCAAAAATTAGGAGGTGGGGGAGTGTAAATTCCAATTTTTTTATGTTATTTATACGCTCCCAGTCTCGGTAATACTACGCACCTATTGGACATATTTCGCACATCATAGATTGCCCTATACATTTGGCCTTAAAAAAGAACTATGAAATGTTTTCGATGCGCGTCTGCTTCTGATCCCGGGGGCGTGCCGGTTTTGGTGAATGTTCTGGTGTTCCTGCAGCGCCCAGTGTTGTCAGGTATAGTCGATTTTCCGAAGTTTTCGGTAGACACAAAGCAAAAGCTTGCCTATGATTAAAAATTGAAGAAGGGGTACCTTGGCGTGTTCCATTCAATTTGATGAGTGGAGTGGCGGATGGTAGCATCAAAGACTCAAATGCTACTAGTTGAAAAATTAGTTTCCAGTTACACCTGTTCGTAACTGACTTTTTTCTCAGATGATTTAAATTGCGCTAAACATAATCCTTTATGCACTGATGACTGCGTTGCAGAGGAAATGCAGAATCATCATACTTAATGCAATTTTTTTGCTTTTTATTTTACGTTTTGGTAATGAGATCTCATAGAGCTTATCAAATGTTACTTAATTCATTTAATTTCTATTTTTTTCAGATCTTTCAAAAAACCGGTTCAGCGAGCTTCCGGAAGAGGTGCTTCGGTTCCATTTTCTGGAGCGGCTACATTGTTACCACAACTCGATCAGATACATACCAGACATGGTCTGCAATCTGCAATGCTTGAATTTTTTAGATCTCAGCCGTAACCAACTCACCACCCTGCCGCGAGAGCTGTGCCATTTACCCATACAGGTATGTTGAAACCCAATGGCGGAGCGGAAAGTTCTAAAATGCTGCACACTGATTTACAGGTTATTACTGTTTGTATTTCGTAATCGAAAAAAGATTAAATTTCCGAAGCTGATAAGGGTTCGACTGTAATACATGTTATACGAGCAGCATAATCAATATGTACAAAAGTGTTCGTGGCTCAAGCTATATATGTATGTAAGCAATACGAACACACATAAGCAACTACACCCTTACTTGTTCAAGGAGTAAAATTTCATATACAGGGTGTCCGAATATTTCCTGAAGAAGTAGAAGTGCCACGTATTTTTAGACTCAAAATAATTCGATTGGGCATGATTTACCTGTATGCAAAAGTATTTCGATTTTTAAAACCCAATTTTCAAGTCTTTAAGAACCGGTAGTCCGATGTAAATAAATTTTGGAACACATATGTTTTGATAGACGTTCTAATATTTGACTTGTATGAAAAACTCTAAACGGTTCAAGAAGGGTGAAAACTACCCCCACCCCTACATAAATCTTTGCATAATTTTTCGCAACTCTCCAAACGACTCAAATTTGTTTTATTTCATTTCATTTCTTGTCTCTTATAAAAACAGGCCATCCCGCATAGTTTTCGAGAAAAAATGTTTTTCGAGCTGGTTTCTAAAAAATGTTTCTATCACATCAAGTGTTCAAATCTAGTAGGCATGTAGTTGGCGGAAATGTGGGATGTTATGTCAGTGTCAGATTGTTTTTAACAACCAGCTGTATACAGTGACATAGAATCCGACATTTCCACCAACTAGATGCCTACTAGATTTTAACACTAGCTCCGAATGCCATTGTTTCTTCTCGAAATCAATGTGAGATGGCCTGTTTTTATAAGAGACAAAAAACGAAGTTAATAAAAGGATCTTTAAAAAAAATCAGATTCATTGGGAGAGTTGCTAAAAAATTCTGCTATAATTAATAGGGCTGGGGATAGTTTTCACCCTTCTCGAACGCTTTCGTTTTTTTTTGTAAACATGTGTTTCAATTTTTATTAAAATCGGACTATCGGTTCCAAAAATATCTGAAAATATGTGTTTTAAAAAGAAAACCGTGACGCCATCTGACGGTCAAGCGAAGCACTTTTGCATAGAGGTAGATCATGTCCAATCGACTTATTTTGAGTCCAAAAATACGTGCCACGGAATATTGGGACACCCTGTGGATTGGCCCTTGTCTCTGGAACAAAATCTACCGGCGACATATTGCATCAGCAGGTCATGAGCGATACACCCTTCATGTCAATAAATATATAAATACCTCTAGTTGCTATGAGCGCTTCCGTTTCAGTTAAGTTCCCTAATGATTTTGCATGTGTTACCTATCAGGTAACAGTCACAGTATTCACTTTAATGAGATTACAGCATAACTTTGACGGCCAACTCCAAGAGTGTTTATTGTTTATCGACTCATCTACATTACGTTTCTCTTCAATCTTCAGATCCTGCTAGTCTCGAACAACCAACTAACCTCTCTTCCCGACGAGTTGTGCCGCATGCAGTCATTGGCCGAGCTGGACGCCAGCAGCAACCGGTTGACGCATCTGCCGCCGCGCATGGGCGAGTTGCACAGGTTGCGCGCGTTGTCGTTGCGCGGCAACCTGCTGCTGGCCGTGCCGGTGGAATTGACGCAACTGCAGCTGGTCAGGCTGGATCTGAGAGGCAACAGGATTGCGCAACTTCCGTTGGAGACCAGGCGGATGGCGGATCATCTTGTGGAGTTGCTGTTGGATGATAATCCATTGACTAGTCCGCCGCCTACGGTGAGTGGTGCTCCTTACACTGAGCAAATATGCGCTGACGCCAATATACAGGGTGTCCGCAAAGTTGGGGTTTTCCTTTTCAGAAACAACTACCCTTGAAATAACAAAGGTAATGTGTAGTGAAACGAGGGAGACCAAGTAAAAAAAATAAAGGAAAAAGTACTTACTCTCCAGTTGACGAGAAAGGCTAAGTACGTCTCTGCCCGAAATCATGCCGCTCCAACAGAAAATGAAATCAGCTGATGCGCTACCGAGCAGACGCAGGCAAACAAGGAAGGCAAAATGTTGCGTAAAAAGTCTAGGTTTTGCATCGATTTGGGAGAATAAATGGTCCAATGAGCATACCGTTCACCATGCCAGCCCAAACATTCACCGAAAATGTTTGTTGAAAATGTGCCCGACGGACAGCGTGCGGATTTTCTACTGACCAAACATGAGTGTTGCGAAAGTTATTCACCCCATTACGCGTGAACGTAGATTCGTCTGTCACCAATATGCACTTCAAAAAGTCTGGATTATTGTCATGATGATGCAACAACCACTCACAAAACCGCACTCTTGCTGGAAAATCGTCAGGTTGAAGGGCTTGTACACGTTGGACGTGAAACGGATACAGCCCCTCTTCACGCAGCGTTTGCCACACTTTAGTTTTTGATACTTGCACTTCTCTAGCCACGTCTCTAGTGCTTGTTGAGGGATTCTCGTCTACGCGATTACCTCTACACGCGTGACCGTAACCGTCGGTTGAAGGTAGCATACTGACCTGACACACTGACACCGACCCAGTTCTGTCGTCGGGTTGAGCTAGTGTCCTAGTACCACTCGGGGATGTCGCGGGTCTCGGCTACAGGACGGTATTCAGATATTTTTGATGTTGCAGAGCCCTTATCTTGGTTCCCTTAAGACATTGGTGTATATGGTACTAAGAAAAATTGCTTATGTTTTCAAGATCTACACGTCGTGTAAAGGAAAACACCAACTTTGCCGACACCCTGTATACAGGCAGTGGCATTGAAGCACACTCCAGCCATGTGCGTTCTAACGATCTTGTAAGAAAAACTGATAACGTATCCGTCATCTCAGCGTCCGATTTGTCGAAGAAACTAGTGTCCGTCTAGTTTAGATTTCTCTAAGAATTCTGCCACGCCTTTTTTTTGGTTAATCAATAAAACACAATGATAAATAATATCTAACGGTTGGTCCAAGCAAAACAGTTGTCTAGTCGCGTGCAAATTTAGGCCCTAGCTCAACAAAGCGGAGAGTAGGGGGGGGGGACGGTTAAGAGCGCCAGTGACTTAGGACGGATTAAGCCACAACTCCCCGAGATGTTAGTCGGAACTTGTTTTGCTCGACCACCACACAAAAGGCGAATCTAACAGAGATGAAGAAATTACACATGAAGTACACATAGAGAGAGCCAAATAAAACAAGATATTAAATGAATCACAATTTATTGATTAATAAAAAAACGCACATGTGCTCCACTACTGGAGTGCGAGTAATAAAAAAAGAAAGGATGTTATAAATCTTAAATACAACCTGACAAAATTACATATATCTACAAATAACCGTAATTCCCTGCCATATCCACAGCAATAGCGATAAAAACTTGTTTTGTTATTTTTTGTTGACAGTGACAAGAATATCAGTACGAAAACAAACATCATTGTACTGTTAAAGTATTCTTATTTAATTTTCGGTTTTAGTGCTATGTTAGATACTGTTTGAACTATTTTTAAAATGGTCAATTCTCGTCCATTGGAAGAAAAAATAAAAGCGATTTTTATTTATGGTGCGACCCGTAACTTTCACGAGACCGAAATGATTTTTAATGATCGTTTCCCGAATCGTCCTATCTGTAGAAAATATTTAAGGGAACTTGAATCTAAGTTTACAGCTACTGGTAGTGTAAACAACAAAAAGCCCCCAGGTCGTCCGACATTCCCGGAAGAAAAGCAAGTTCAAATAATTTTTGAGATGATAGTAAATCCCCAATAGTCTACTTCCTCCATCGCGAATGTATGTGAGGTTTGTCCTTCTACTGTATGGAGACTTTTGAAAAAGAATAAGTATCACCCATACAAAATTCAAATGGTACATCAGCTAACTGAAGATGACCCTGATCGAAGAACAAATTCTGCGAGACTTTGACGGAAACCATTGCACGGCATCCTACCTATATCAAAATTATTTGTTTTAGTGATGAATGTATACTAAGTGACATATAAATCCGAACACCCAGTTTAAATGGTTTTATTTTAATAAAATTTTGTATAAGTACTTAATGAAGCATAATAAGTAAATGATAAAAATTTCAAAATGATTGCACTGCTTTAAAGCCCTTTGACCTTTAATAATGTGTGGATGCACCCTGATGTGCTACGCATTCTCCAACGCGCCTACGCATGCTTCTGATCAGGTGGTCAATGTCTTCCTGTGGTATCTCATTCCAGGCAACCACCAACTCCTCTCGAAGTGCTTCTAGAGTCTGAGGAGGACGTTGCAAATTGAGCAATCTCCTACCCATCATATCCCACACGTGCTCAATTGGGGATAAGTCGGGAGATCTTGGTGGCCATGGTAACAATGTGACATCATTATGTTGAAAGAAGTCTATTGTGACTCTTGCAACATGTGGTCGGGCATTATCTTGTTAGAAAGTTGGATCTGCCAGGGTGTCAAGATAGGGTAAAAGATGGGGTTCTAGAACTTCGTGGATATAACGCTGCGCGTTCATGTTACCTCTGATGAAGATTAAAGGTGACCTGGAACCATAAGCTATAGCACCCCAAGCCATAACTCCAACAGTGTGATGAACATGTCTTTGAACAAAAAACTGTGGATTACTCCTTTCACCACGTCGCCTTCTAACCCTGGCACGACCATCGTGCATGCCTAAACAAAATCGAGACTGCCAATAGGTCTTCCGTGTTCTGCAAACCATTCATTTGCAATGGACCTGGTAGTGGAGAAACGGTCCCTTAAGGCCACTAATCTTAGGCGGCGATCTTCACGGTCTGTTGTTCTACGGCGGCGTCCAGTGCCCCTTTGTAGAAATATCGATGTTACTATGTTTGAAAATGTTCGACGCGAAATTACGGACCGGCTGTTATTTTGTCAAGAAGTTCAAGGCAACCATTTCCAGCATCTTCTAAACTGAACTCAATGTATTCATTCGAATTATCAAGCTAAATGTCAATGTATTCAGGTAATTATTAAATGTACCACCATTTTGTAGTAGGTAAAGGTATTGACTTTATATTCTAGGGTTATAAAGTACTCGTCAGGACCTTCAAAATGATATGCCACAAGACCCCCGTAATATGGTATCCACGCATCAATTTAATTACCTCAAGTTTTAATTTTTTGAATTGATCCGTTCAAAAAATCAAAGGGGACGGGGACATTATAGAAAAGCACTGTATATACCTGTTTGATACACATATAAACGTAATAGTGAAAATGTAACTTTGTAAAACGTGATCGACCTGCTCAACCATAACCTTAGCCGAGCATTCGTGTTTTCTAAAATGCCTGGTTGCCGCTTGTAGCTGAACAATAACATTAGCGCATATTATAAAAGTAGCTTTCTCTATCTATCTACAATTAACATCTTATCTGGCAATATCAATTGGGTGGCTTGACAAGCAGTAGGTTTTGCGTTATAGACGAAACATTTACCAATCAGTAAAATTTCTTATTAGATGAATTTTTTTCTTAGGTATGCAAACGCGGTCGAGTGCACGTCTTCAAATACCTCGAAATGGAAGCCTCGAAACGAGGAACGACACCCACAGGCACCCTGACGAACAACGGAGTGGGCGGCACCCTAGGAAGGCGACAGCGACGCAGCAACAACAACGGGGGCAGCGGGTCGCCACTGTTGCCATCCGCCATCCCTGGAGATCGACTTAGAAAGAACAGGCAGAACGCGGATAGCGGATACAGTACTGCATCAGACGGAGGGTGGACACAGGAGATTGCACAGCAAGGTGCGTTTTTGAAGGTCATCTTAAGGTCACTTCAAGGACATATCCAAAAGAAGTCGGGCAATCAAGTCCAACTATCAGTCCAATAGGCTTCTGATGTCACTTAGTCCAAGTCAGAACCTAGTTTGTCTCTCTTAGTCCATTTTCAGCCCGACTCTTACATGGAACTGGAAATTTCGAGACTATCTCTCAAACGAACCGGGTGTCTCAGGATTTTCTTGTCCTCTAGGGTAAAATTCAGTTTTTGAATTGAAATCAAGTGAAAACCAACTTCTTTCTAATTCCATATAATTTTTTGGGGCTAGCCTTGAATCGTTCTTCTACAAATTAGTAAGTAGTGAGCTCCTACAAAATAGTCGATAGAACGTCAACGAGAAGTGGAGTTTTAAACATAAGTTAAATTCATGTTTTTGTTGGTAAGCTTATGCTTAGTCCTGAAAGAATCGGGGTAAGATTTTTCGGTCACGGCACTTTCAGTACCGGGATTTCTCTACAATTTTTCTACAAGCATTAAAATTACATTGCCAATAAGATTTTGGCGCACAAATGATTCATGAAATCGACCAATTTATTGAGAAATAAATATCTCAGTTCCCGGTCCAACCATCCTGCCGGGAGGGAGAGGATGAATGTTTACTATCGGAAGTAATTTCTTACTTTCCCTAGTTTGAGTTTTATTTAAAGTGCTTTCTGATTGAGTCTTTACTTGAGTCACAAGTATTTATTCCTATTTATTCGTTTTTCAGCCAGCTTTTTCTCCATTTTTCGCGTGTAAAAGCGTTCATTCCTTTTTATCAACTTATTGTTTATCATTGCAATTTATGTTTGACTTGTTTTTCCTGTTGTTTCAGTTAAGACAATAGACCAAAACTCACAATCAACATTATCAACGCCTTCAACGATATCACCAGCACCTGAATGCACCATGTATGATGAAGATACACCAAAAACGAATAGTAATAGTAGCTTTTCTAATGATTTTGACAAATTAGATGGGATCAAAAATAGAGATTTGAATAGGTATGTATTAAGGTCTTCTTAATTTATTTTTTTTCTGGTTTCTCCTAATATCCAGGTGGAGGAAAATAATGTAGAGTTTTGAAGAACCGGTTATGTAGATATCGTAAAAAGAACCATTTATTGAATCTACCACCAATTGTTCAAGATGACATATAGCGTTTCATTTTTATTTTATTTGTATGCTTTTTACATAATTTTCTGTGTAAAGCCTTCCGCAAAGTAGTTGGATAAAGACGATAATTTGTGAGTTAATAAAATCCATGAATCATTCTCCTTTTTATCTTCTTTTATAATCACAGCATTCCTGAAATTACGTTGATTTTCACTTAATTTTCAGATAACATTTTACAATGCATCCGTCATGACAAAGGTATTACAAGAATAAGCGCTTTTTGACTCGTGAATGTTTCCCCTTACATGTATGACTCGACCAATTGATAACTTTTTGTGTGTTTGTTTTGTTCCATAGTGTTCGTATAAGCCCTTGCAGCGATTCTACCTTAACTAACAGCAATGGAATTGACGATAAGAAGCCTTTACACCAAATACAAACATACAGGTATGAGACTGTATTCCTATTTTTTCTACAATTAACATTTGTTCATCCTGTTAAGTTTTATATGCACTCTATTGGTGATAACTTTGTTTTGGCTTGCGGCTACAAATGTATCGTTTTGTCCACAAATGTTGTAAAGTTTTCTCATGGCTTGTAGTTTAGACTAAAATTGCACGAAGTGACAAGTGACATTCCCCGCTCTTTGCGTTTCCAGTTTAAAACATAGAGGTTTCATTTAATAAAACCTGGAAGGTCATAAGCAAGGTCACGTTCAATCTTGCAATTTGGTTCTACATTTTTCTGTAGAACACGTATTTCACGTGATATTTTGACCCATACATACTTTTTAAACACCATGTATATTTTCTCGGATAAAACCATGACTATAGCTTTCCTCGAGTTAGAAAGTGTGCAAATATGTGCGTTTCTTCATATTGTGGTTCAGACATGATGCAGACTGGACAGACATTTACATTGAAATATCCAGATTGTTTATTCACAGCCATGTTTCAATAAAAAAACTACACCAACGTTTTGTGCTCTCCGTGCCCAAGGAGCCCTGGAGGCGACCTGCGGTATCCAACTTGGAAAATAAGTATAATAGTAAAGTGAACTCCTTCAACGCGGATGTAAAGGATGTCTCAATACGAGCGCCGGATTTTATTTTCAAGAAAAACACAATTTCTTTTCGAATTAAGCGAGTATTTATATTTCAACATGAAGAGGAATAGTTGCGATTAAATATGAAATAGGACATCCGGTAAATGGCCACCACGGAAGCTCTGGCACAGGGTCATTCTTTTCTTAAAATTCTGGATCACGTTTTCGCACAACTGTGGCTCTATTTCGTCGATAACGCGCCGTATCTCTTTTTTAAGGCTTTAAACTGTTTGTGGCTTGTTCGCATACACCTTTTCCTTCACATAGCCCCAGAGGAAGAAGTCCATTGGCGTTAGATCGCACGATCTTGGTGGCCAATTTTGATCGCGAAACCAAGAGATGACACGGTGTGGAAACTTGGTCCGCAGTAACACCATTATTTCGCGTGCTGTGTGGCAGGTTGCACCGACTTTTTGGAAGAACATATCCTCCACATGAATTCGATCCAACTGGAGCTACAAAAACTCGGTTAACATTTCGCGATACCGTACACCATTAACAGTTCCGCAGTTACAGCTGCATTTTGGAAGAAATACTGTCCAATCAGTCCGCCACTCCACAATGCGCAGTTCTGCTTATTGACGTACTCGTTCAGATGAAAATGTGCCTCATCAGAGAAAATGATTTTCTTCGAGAAATCCGCATCAATTTGGTGATGCTCCAGCTCCCAATCAACGAATTCACTTCGCTGCGCATGGTCCGTTGGCGTGAGTTCTTGCTTCAGTTGAACCTTGTACGCATGCAAGCACAGATCTTTTGTTAAAGTTCGCTGCAGAGTGGGTCTGGTAAGGTTCAATCCTTGGCCACGATGCGTAATGGAAGTGCCTGGATTATCGGCTACACTTTCCCGACTAGCTTTTCGAGGGGCCGACGACGAACAGCGGTCTTTACATTCAGCAACGTGAATTATGTCTCAAATTTTTGTAACTAAATGGCTTAACTGTCAATTCATTTGGCGCATTATTTCGACCGAAAATTGTACGTAATTTGCGAACTGTTTCCGCGTAATTTTCTCCATTTTTGTAGTGACTTTTCACAATAGTTCAACGTTGCTCGTTTGAATTCTGCTTCAAGACGTCTAATCGTGTGGCCTGGACATGACAGCTGTCATCAAGTAAACACTATCCCATTTGCACAAAAAATCGCGGCAAATTCAAATCCGGTGCTCTTGTTGAGATACCTTTTATTGTCAAAAGACTAGTTTCAGACTGATTCAAATTTGATTCTTTCAGATAGAATACATTTTCTGCCAAAATACGTTTGAGTTGACAGTGAAGACATCGTATTTTACATTTATTATGTAAAATAAATAAATACATCGTTATTTAAAATTCGTCTGCTACATCACGAAATGATGATGTTGCATGTTCTGCGAACCACAAAAAGATGGCTCATTTTTTGTTTTTTTTTTTCGATTATGATGATGATTATTGATCGAATCTATAACAGATCCAATTGGATTCTAAATTTGAACAATAGGAATCTGATATTTCTATGAGCAGTACAAAAGGTATATACAATAAAAATTTAGTAGCCAGCAAATTTTATAAAAAGGTTATCTGGCTTCAGTGTTTTACTATACCTTGGTATTTGGAGGGTTATTAAATGCTAATTCAGTCTCTTTCATTGTCTGTTTTACGATTCACTATGTACTTACTTTGTTATCTATTTGCAAACGTTATTACTTGATTGGAATTTCGTGCCTTTTTGGATGCTGGACATATGTATGTTAGAGGCTGAAGAAAAAAATAGGCGTATCAGCCGGCTGAAAAAATGATATTTTGCTTCCTGGCATCGAGTTCAAAATTCCCTAAAAAAATGTTGACTATCATGAAACCTTAGCTTGAGCGATTCTGTATATCTCTGAAATCATATAGGTGCATTATGCGTTATGGGGCGGCTTTGTCCGGAAATCTTGAAAACCCAATTAGAAGCCCAATTTTGGATAAAGCGGCACATTCGTAGCACGAAGAGTAAAGTCCCGAGGAACTTCAAAAGTACTGATGCACTTATCTTGACAATCAGTAAGCAACAAATTATCTCTAGGGAGTACAAAGAAGCCCTGAAGCAGCAACGAGCCCAAGACGTGCCTTCGATATATCGCAGCAAAGATGGAGAACAGCACAGCTACAAAACAGAACCAAATACGCCCACGCATCATGCTGTAGAACCGCGAACGTTGGCCACATCAAAGTCGGATCCGACGCCTTTGAATTCGGCGTTCGGCACTCCCAGGACCATCTTTGATGATACTAGTGTAAGCAAGAAGCCGGTGCAGAAGGTAAGTGGTCCAGGATTTGATTCTGGCAGAGGATACTTTTAAATGTATTGGGCTTTAAAGTAAATAAGAGAAAAATATCGTTAAAAAAGCTGTAATAATTGCAGTTTTTGGATAATATTCAAGGTGTTACAGTAATGAAAAGGGTATATTCCTGAACCAAATTATAAGTAGAAGTAAAAAAGTTTATATAAACAATTAACCTAAAAAGTCCGGTTTCCAAGAAACAGGGTGACCATTTTTTTAAAAGAATTGTTTTTTGACAGAGAAAAGATAATAGCAAACTATCACACAGAAAGTCAAAAATATGCTCACAACCGAACAAAAATCCTACGCAACAATCAAAGTTGATTTGACTTTATTTAAACAATTTTTTAACATGTAATGTTTTTTTTATTTTTTCCTCGAAAACGAAGTAAGATACGAGGAGGTACCAAGAGACAAAAAATTTGTATCAATAGCTGCTCAATCCGAAACAAATAAAGGGTTTTTCATTAAGTGCGTCTGATGTTTAAAATTGAATGAGTTGTGTGCGACATATGATAGAAACTTTAATTGCGTATTAAAGTACATTCAATACCATTTCGTTGTAAAAATTACATCATACAAATGGCCTCCGTTTACAGCACTCGATCCGAGAGGACCAATTTTGTAAAACTCTGCCGCATAAGCCGGGCTGGATCTGACCAATGGTTTGAATGATGTTGTTCTCCAGTTGGTGAATTGTTGTTAGTTTGTTGCTATAAACCAGCGACTTAACGTAACCCCCGAGAAAAAATTCTAAGGGTGTTAGGTCACATGATCTTGGCGGCCATTCCATATCGCCTCTTCTGGAAATAACGTGTCCTGGAAACTTTTCTTGCAACAACTGCAATGTAATGGTCGATGTGTGAACCGTTGCTCCATCTTATTGGAACCACATGTCGCTCAGGTCCATAATATCCAATTGAGGCCATAAAAAGTCAGTTATCATGGCCCGATACCGGGCGCCGTTGACAGTCACCGTCTCGCCATTCTCGTTTCAGAAGATCGAATGACGCCACCTGACCAAAACCCACACCAAACAGTGAGTTTTTCCGGATGCAATCGAGACTCTTGATACCTGTTGTTGATTACTGTCTCCCCAAATGCGACGATTTTGTTTATTCACGAAGCCGTTTCACCAAAAATGTGCTTCATCACTGAAAATGATTTTTTTGTCAAAATCTGCATCCGCTCCCAACTATTCTAGAGGGGCTTTATTTCTTGCGTCAACTGGCTCTTATATGAGTTACCTGCCCAATTGCTTGTGCACGACGCAGATCGAAAGGTTTGGGTCTTTAGCTACACTTTCGACAACGGCAACAATATTGTCGCTTGACCGCGCGTTCTGCGTCTTACAGGAACTGCGCGATCTGCAACCGAACCGTCTTGCTCGAATTTGGCGATAATTCGTTGAATTGTTCGCTCCGTTGGATGATTATTTTTTCCGTAAATATTTCGTAAAAATTTGACGAATAGAACACGAATTCTTGTAGTAGATTTTAAGAATTGCTACGCGTTATTGCACAAGTTTAGCGCTCTATGGTAAAATGGTGACTTTGACAGAACACAAATATCGAGGAATGATAACCGTGCCACCTGAAAAGTCAGAGCAAGGTGTTGCCAAATTTCGGACAGAGCTATGGAAAAACCCTTTATATACTTTTTTAAAAGTCAATGGCGTAAATTTTTTGCTTTATATTATTCGTGAGACTGCCCTCCGAGACGCCATTGGAATTCATAATTCTTTTTGCGATGAAAACTGTCAACACGTAATAAAATCGGCACAAGAATCTTCGATACATTAATAAAAAACATTTTTTTTTTATTTTGACAACTTGTAGCTTGAAAACAAGACTTTTTAGAACAATGGCTTATATTATTCTGTCTACTTAAATTACTTCATATCCTTAAGTTACATCCTCTATATACATAGAGCTAATATTCTCTAAGACTCGAAATAAATATAACACTTTTGAGTGTTTTTTGAATCCGCCTCAAACTTTTAATTATCCTAATATACCAAAACGGACTTACTGAGAGGAAGTCGACATCAGTCGCAATATTAGATACTATCCATCAAATACAAAAAAATCTTGATAACATAATTCCTTGTCTTTGTATTTTGGTCGATCTAAGAAAAGAGTTCGACACAGTAAATCGTAAATTATTGTTGGACACATTGGAGAGAGTTGGCTTTTGGGGAAAAATGTAGTCACTACTACAAAATTACTTATTCAACAGACAGCAATCCGTTAAAGTATCAACATGTCTCAGTAACCAAATGCTCATCAAATGTAGCGTCCGACAGGGAACCATTCTAAGTCTACTGCTTTTTAATATATATTTAAATGATATATTTTAAACATATCCACGTATATAACTTGAATCAGGTTTATCTCTTACATGCTATAGCCAACCATCACAAATTTATTAATAACGGCCGAAAAATTAAACATGATCACCACGCAAGGCATACACTAAGAGAAACAGTTGTGCCTAGGCCAAATAAATCTATAACGATCATACTTTTATTTAGGACCAAAATTATACGTAAATTTACCTGACGATATAAAGTGCCCACGCTTTGGGAATAATATCAAGAAAAAGTTAAAAGAATTGTTTTTTCTCTGCAAGACCAGACGTTCACCACAAATTAATAGTAAGCGTAAACATCAAATAATTTGTTGGTTGTATCTTTACTCATATTTCAATAATATGTACAATTTCAACACTAATGGTCCATGTACAGGCAATGCCTTCTATGGGTCGTTGCTTATTTTATTTACTCATTCTTTATATTGTGTTTTAGGAATAAATAAATATTATTACTATTATAATCTCTTTCCCTTTCAGGTTATTCCATCTCGAACATACTCTCCCACTCCGCACCACCCGCCTACCCATCTGAACGGCATATCCGACCCACAAATGCCTACTCCGCCCACATACGTCAAACCGCGTTCGCCTAATCACAACAGCGCAGGCGCGATGGGCCACGATAGGATACCAAACGGCAAGGGGGTGTGTCTTCAGACGCTGACCGCTCCCACACCCAAAGGGTCGTGTCTGCAACAGACCACACCCAAAGGAGCGGGCAGTGGTAAAATAGGCGTGGTCAAGACGATCAGCTGGGATAGGGAGGTGGCTGCGCAGGGAAAAACGGCGGAGAAGATGAGTTTTACGATGAGGAGGGAGATAGATAAGGCGAAGGAGGAGACTGAGTTGATTAATCAGCTGAGGAATGTGAGTATTAAGCGAAACTCTGTGCTTATGCTATTTCGCAAATAATGTGACAGCAAAATGTATTAAAATATCCTGCATCGTTGAGTGACAGAGGCATATTTCGTACTGCTTCGTATTTCCTAGTGGCGCTGACGCTTTTGTTTGATTTGTTTAGGATTAAGTAATTAAGAAGTTTAGGTATACAGCCAAAATAAATCAATCGAATAACTAGGAATGATTAAGACTGCATTTCAAGTCAGTTAAGAATTATGATTGATGAACGTATTTTACCTGAAGATAATTAGAAATCTACCTTGAAAAAGTTAGTAACTCATAGATGTAGCTATATGCTCGTACGTGGTTAGGCTGTAGTGCCATCTAAGTATACAGAGTGTTTCAAATTCGACCCTCGCCATTGGGATCTCGGAAACGATAAGGGATACGAAGTCGCTTAAATGGGAGCGTGATTAACTAACTAATAAAATGCCACTTAGAAAGCGCGAGTGCCGTATTAGGTTATCTATCTTAAGGTTCATTTATCAATGGAATTATGTAAATTTTAATCAGTATTTGGTGAAAATAGTTTTACTTGCTACTGTGTTTGAGTAGATTTACTATTGCAAAGAATTAAGAATTAACACTGAAGGGGACGGCGTTAGAGTTTGTGATATTTTTTGCCGACTATCTGCCGGCGTTTTTCTAAATAAGTTGTCTCGAAGCAGTTGCGCGTATTGTGATGAAACTTGGAGAAGGATATGCTGTGGGGTTATAGTAGCTAATGCTATATTTTTGAAAACCTGTGAGTTAGTGACGGAGATACAAGCAAAAACGAAAAAGTTTCAGACCGTTCTCAAACTTCGTCTTTATGATTCACAACTTTTTGATAATTCTTGGACCGTTGTCAAAATATTTTTTTCTAGATGTCTAAATGTATCGAAATTTCTATGTTTCGGATCATTTTAATTTGAGTTGATATAATTCAGAAGGTACAAAAATGTTGAGTTTTGGTAAGTTTCATTTGTCGAGCTAAAGATGCCAGTAATGATTCGCTAAAATAATATTTTGTGTGTATAAAAATGCGTGAGAAGTACGGAGTTAAGTGGGACATTTTTTTGTTGGTAGATAATCGAGACAAGGCTGAAAATGGTCTTACCGGAAGACCTAGCTCCAGCACTGACAGACGGAGTAGTATTGTGCCATCTAGCAAACCATATCAGGCCCAGATCAGTGGCCAGTATTCACGTACCATCGCCAGCTGTTGTAAGTATATTTCTATTAAATGTTTAATATAAAAAATTTGAATTTTTGGCTAATGTCTTCAAATAAATTGGATTTTCTTTATAGCCTAAACTTACCATGGCCAGGTGTCGGAGGAACGTAGATAATTTCCTCGAAGCCTGTCGCAAGATTGGAGTAGACGAGGTGAGTAATGTAATGCATGTTTGCCATTTGTAGCTTATGCCCCCTGTGCTATGCCAGATATGACCTACATTTAAAACCATACCGATACTATTTACACATTATTACGGTAGAACTATAATGTCATTTTTCCCTAAAATGGCTAATTATAATAATTCACAGCCAATAGGGAATATGCATGTGATTCAAATATCTATTATTTATTTCCATTCACAGTCTATATTGTTACAAGCCACCTTCAACCCTATTTTATACTGATGCCTTATAAAATTGCTAGTATGAATTAATAAAAAAGAGGGAAATTTAATGTCACGGTATCGGCAAGTGAGCACCCAATCCTTTGTCGCTGTCGTTGATCGTCACCCTATCAGTTTAACCAGACTGAAAGAGTACTGCTTGACGTGGTATTCGCCACTGAGCTGTCTAACAATGGGTTACGCTCCTTTTTCAACATAGATGTCAACACCGTTTGACAGCGGACGTGCTGCCACCAATCAGTGTATATTTTTGGTGGCTACCAGGAGACTTTCAGCAAACGACCCAAACATAGAATAAATGTTGATTTATAAACTCTCACCCAACTTGAATCATGCGCTCCAAGTTAAACTATTTATAAACAGGAATTCCGCAACGTTAGTCCGCAATACTGCTGACCCTACTCTTAACGAAGTTTTAACTTTCTGCCGTTACCAATTCAACCAATGAAAGGGAGCCTGAAAATCAGGTGTCTGTTGCGACAAATCAGCTGGCTTTTCCGAGTGCTTTTCGCTCAGGTTGACGTGACATATGTTTTGTTTTTCTTTTGTAATCGGCGTGACTTCCTTTGAGATTGTTTGCTATATTTAATAATGTGAGTTATCAGGAGATGGGTGTTACAAGTGAAGAAGACACTGCATCATATCTGCAGGGTAGCTTGGTCTTCAAATATGAGAAAAAGGTTGCAATTTAGGGTTAGGTTATGCGTCGTCGCAGTCTAGGATCGTTAATGATGCACTCACAAGAAACCTAACCTAGGTTATGCGTCACGCGTCGTAACGTTAGCAAGTGTATAAATCAATTTTAACTGTCAGCCGCACGTTAAAGTAACGGTACGCCCACGGAACGGCAACGTCAGACTATTTACGGTATTATACTAACGTAAATAATCGACAGGAAATACAAAAAATATGCATATTACCTAATATAATTGATATATGGGAATTTGGAAAAGTCAGCGTTTATAGTTTACTAGGAACCATTTTAGATATCTCTCATCTGTAATGATTGTACTGCAGAACGCCATTTACTGGTTTTGTGGATTTTCTTTTTAGGACTCCGGAATGAAACGATCGTAAACAAAGAGGCGCAAAGCTATTTTTTTCACTTGAAACTTTCTACGTGTACTATTAAACATATAACAAACATAATGTAATATCCTAAGTAAGGCAGTAGGTACTTGGGCAGTGAACATTTTTTATCCAACATTTTAATGCAACATAAAATTATTTTTAATGCTTTGCTTTTTTATATCTTCCACAAAAGTAAGTAGATTACCTGAAAATTTATCTGATCTTAAAATGACCTTGATAGTCTTAGGCCCGTATCGTCAGTCGTCCCTACAATTGTAGGGCGCCTTTATGGCCTCCTTGATTGTCATAGTTTTCTACTTCTCCGTGTCAGAACTCTATTTTGAGGTTATGTCACAAACATCTATTTTCATCAAATTGTGCTTGTTTTTGAGTTATATGATGTTTTATCAGCCTGAAATTTCCTACAATTTAAAAAGAAAACATGTCTTCAAAATAGGAGAGCGCTGACGCTGACACGGGACAAGTGTAATCTAGAAATTTTTGAAGGAGAGAAAGCAGTATGACAATCAAGGAGGCCATAAACGCGCCCTACAATTGTAGGGACGACTGACGATACGAGCCTTAGTCATGGTAATGGACATACTTGAACATGAAATTTTGCTCTTTTTATTTCCTGTGCCAAAAAAGTGGTTTCCGTTTAAGAAAACTATCTTGACCCTCAAATGCGCTTTTTTAAGAAAAGTCTTATGGCATCTAAAAAGCGTTTTGCGATGAGTTCGAACGTCCTTATCCAGGTCATATTTGAAGAAATCAAGAAATTACATTTTCAGATATCCTAAACGTTCCGACGTTACAGTAGGAAGCACGCACGTGGTACGATTCTATCACTTAGCGATGTGGGGTATTTTGATCAGGTGATATATTTGTTGTCACATTTTGCCATACTGAAGTGCAGTTAAAAATAGTTTACCTTCAGCGCATTTATGCAGAATATGCGACGTGTGATTCTTGGTGAGAGACAATGGTGATCATTGATCTGTTGGGCTCACCGTTGATGGTATGAATTCACTAACTTTGTGTTAAAAAAAGTAACAAATGACTTCCTTGGCCCAAACACTGAATAACTTTTTCTGGAGGCATGCCACCGGAAGTCGCAGGTTCATGCCAATACAACGTATTTATTTCAACATCCTTAATAGAAAAATTTTTAAGCAATTCCAATACTCGCGCGCTTCCTCATACCCTTTCATCTTGAACATAGTAATTTTATGTTGAATAAACTAAAAAGGATAAAACGCGTGCGCTAATGCAAGTTAAAGGGAGGAAAGGTGAGGTTGAAGATCAAGGGGAAAGCGCACAAATGTTGACATCTCTTCACTACAACACAATATGTACATAATGTTTTAGACTAACTGGATGTCCGGCCGTGAGAATGAGACTGTGGTGTGTTCGGTGTTGCAGGGCTCAATCTGCTCGGCGGTGGACATCACAGAGGGCCTTTTTGGAGGCGGTTGCGGACTTGCCCGTCTCCTCAGCACCGTGCAGCATTTGTGCAAGATCGGACAGATTGCGTTGAAACCGCCGCCGCCTGCACCGCCCCCGAGGGTGTCATCGCTCAACGGGCAGAGGCAGACGAGGATAGCCACCGCACAGGACCGCACAGTCTCATTCTTGCTGCTCGGAGTGTTCCTGGGGACTGTTGTGCTGTTGCTATGGTTCCCGCCTAGGGAATGAATCGTAGGAGTATCCAAGTGACGTATAGATATTTTCATTGCCAAACATACAATCTGTAGATCCTAGACTGTCCGCTTACTGGACAAATCATATCTACAATATTATCTATATTTTCCTTAAAAAACGACACTGTGCGCCAAAATTACTGCCCCATTTAACATAATCTCATTTTGGAATCATTACTCCCAATCACCTCCCAAATGGCATGCCAAATGATCGAACATACAGGGTGTTCGAGAGGTCGATACCAGTTACCAAACCTTTTGGCTTTTGAGTTTTTCGCAATTTTATCACATCCCAGAAAAAAGCCGAAACCATGTGTTGAACTGTCGCTTGTTCAGAGGTGAAATTGAACCATCCTAAACACTAAAATCATTTTTTATCCTAACGGAGACACCGTTTTTACTGTCCAAAATTGAATTTATTATTTTCACAATAATTTATAACACTTGTACTAATTTATGATAATTTATTACAACGTTGACTGGACTACGCCTTCCGCGTCCTGTGATATTTATCCACCTGTCGACGCATCGAGAAATATTCCAGTATGTTCGGGGACTTCCATGGAAGTGGTTTAGATAAAAGCAGGTGCTTACAGACGGCTATCCAATTCTCGCGATTGCGGTCCAGAATTCAAGCACGCCTAAGCGTCGACTCTGACAAGCCGCCCCATCGTCACTCAAGGTCACAGCTATACGAGGGCATTACATTATAAAATGTACACAATCTTTGATAATTTGGGAAGTACATATTTGTACGAAGACAATAGGCTATTAATGGGTAAAATAACAGAACTGATTTTGGCATTCTTCTGGAATATCACAAAATTGCGGATAACTCAAAAATAGTTCGACTTTGTACTAAGGTATATGTGGCTTATTGTTATCGAAATTAAGTGTATTATTATCACCCCTTAAAAGGTTGGTATCGACCTTCTGAACACCATGTTTACGGGCTTTCCTTTGTGGCTGAAGTGCAAATACGGTTTTTCTGCCGTACGATTTTTCACGCGAAATGACGCATGTGAGACTACTACAACCTTTTCGTGTAAACCTAAACCCCATGTTCACGGATTGCGATATAAAAGTCTTTTTTTTTTCCTTTGCAATCCCACAGTGGTTCAAAAGTCCGAAAACCTGGCGAAAACTAGATGATTCACTAAATTTCACAAAAAAACTTCATCGACATGTTCTCGAGGTTACTGATAATGAATATGATATCTATTGGACAAAAATCAAAATAGCGGACATGTTTGCAAAAAAAAAAAGTTTGGATTATGCTCAAATTCGAGTTTTGTATGTTTTTGAGGTTGCTGGTGACGACTTGAATATCTATTTTTTTTCGAAATCTTAATGCCGGACATGTTTGCAAAAAATGTTTCCATTACTCTCGAATTTGAGTTTTGTTTCAATTTTTTTTTGAACTCACTAATTCACTATACATTACAGAAAAAAATACTACATTCGTATCGTGTTTTGTGTCTATTGGCAAGTAATATAGTTATACAATTATTTTTGACACGAGTTTCTTGTCATTTTATCGATGCGACAGACATTTACTATAATTTCGCCATCAGAGCCGTCTAAGTGGAACTAATGGTATCAAAAGATGAAATATGCATCCATAGCTGTGCACAAAATCTAGTCATATGCGAAAAAAAAATTATTTGACCTTTGGCGAGGTTTTTGGTTCTTGGACCACTGTGCATCCTGGTGATTTGAAGCATTTTTTACGGTTTAGCATCACTTTGTTTGGCTTCCTTATCTGTTTTCAAACGTTGTTGTTTGACGCTGTTGGGGTTTGGCGTCTTTTTTAAAGGACAATGCATGATTTGGGGGATGCTAAAAAGAAGAGTGACTTCAGGTACCTGAAAAAAAAAAAACAATTTTATGGGTGCAACATTTGGCAGTACCCGGGTCTGAAATCTTCGAGAAAACACTTGGATTTCCCACTGGACAAGGCAGTATATTCTCAGCTTGAAAAATTGTCAGGACGAACATCCAAAGGGTTTTAGGTGCTAATTTTGAGGCACAGTGTAGTTTCACTGCAGCGCTCTAAAAAATAATGAATATATCTGGTTCCAAGCTGATAGTCAAAGGTATCTTTCGAAGAAAAAATTAAACCTGCATGTTACTTGGATATTTTTTCATGTGAGCATGAGATGTTCTTCATGTATTTTGACCTGTTTTTGGATGTCAACCATCTGCTTTCTTTATTTTGAATGTTTATTAAATAACTGATATATCACTTACTTTGCTTCTTAGGTAGCGAGCATAAAAACTGACATATCTTAAAAGTTTTTTCAAAACATGTATCGAAAAACTTTCCGCCAAAATACATGAAGTATATCTATCCCATTTATTACTTGCATTGAGATTTGATGCTGTTTCATGGAATGTAATGAGAGAGAAATGGATTGATACAAGAGGTCATCTCAAAAGTATGTTAACACATTTTTTTATTCCTTGAATAGCCTGAATATCTTAAAGTGTTGGCGTCTGGGGATATTTGATGTCAAAAGATTATCATAATCCACAAAGATTCTGCTCTTACTTACATCCCACATATTTTCATTTCTATCCTACATTGTCAAAAACGAACTTCGCAATCGGCGATAGGAGCACCTAGAATCTCCATTTACCGTCAATAAAATGATTAAAAAATAAAGTAAGATACTTTTGGGACGGCACCCGAAAAGTGTAAAAATATTGAGAACGAAATTACTATATGAGCTTATAAAAACTGGATGCAGCAAGTAGGTCGTTTTAATTTTATGGTATAATTGGTTGCATCACACTGCTAAACACTGAGACATTTGTAGCAGCTACTAAAGTTGTACGTATTCACATTTTCGTCCGTTATGGATGTGTGTTTTTTACGAGTATCCATTACGTTTTGACTACTGAGATGAACAGCTCATCAGCAAGTAACATCTCTGTAGTATTGGCATTAATAAAGCGGATGTGGCTAAGGCCAAACTCAGGACCGTAATTTGGACTGTTTATAGCAAACATAGTCAAACACTGTTTATTTTATCTTATTCCTGCGTGACTTGTAATATAATAATCATTAGCAGCCATTTTGTTTGTCTAGTTTTTTATGGTGTGCGGAGGCACTTTTCTAAATAATAGCGTTGTGAGGAATTATGAACCCGTTGCGTACACAAGAACAGATCTAGCGTTGACAGAACCGTCAAAATTGTTCACTTTTGTCGTTATGGGGTATTTTAAAATGTTATGAAATAATTGTCTGCTATTACGTTTGACGTGAAAAAGACGATAGAAATATATTCGTAACTGTTGGTGGACTCTTGTAGCCTTCATCTATTTGCCATTGCCTGTCAAGGTGGTCCCCTTGTGTCAAAGGCCTCTAGTAGCTTTACTGTGGCCAAATGTGCAGCAACACTTGATATACTTTATGCTTAACCTAATAGCCTAAAAGGTGTCTGATCCAGTTTTATACGTTTGTTAAAGGTTTGTTATAAGAATGATTATAATCTTAGATGTAGGAATATCTGTATCACAAACGCATAGTATTCTAGTCATTTTCATAGATTGATATATGAAAAATATCTTATGTATCTAAGGTACTAAAGTACATTCAAATGAGATTTATCAAAACATGAATCAAAATAAAAGCATTCCGCAATTGGTTGCCAAAAGTGAAAAAGGCATTTACAACAAGTTAAAATTACATGAACACTTCCAATGTTTTTTTGTCCTTTTACATTTTATATTTTTCTTTCATAATTATTATAGACATTAAAATTATGTGGTATATGCAAGAATTTTATGGAATTTATAAGATTATTATAAATTGTACATTATCAATAGTTTATATGAAATGTTACCTTGCCGAAGGGTTAGAATCTTATTTGATGTTAGAAAAAATTGAATTTCAAACGAACAATACTCTTTTGATACTAACCTGTATCTTGTAATCTCTCGTAGTGCCGCAAACGCTAGTCAGCTGGAGGATAGCTTTAAGGTTTTTGTGGATATCTTCTGTTTCCATAAAGTTGACAAAAATACTTGAAGGCATCCGCGTAAAGTTTGATTTCTAATTTTATAAAAAAAGTTATTCGTAAAAGTAGAAACGTATCCCCTAGCTGATTATTTTGTTGGATCCTGTGCGGAAGATTACGATCAAGCTTAATACCAAAACAAAATTGTCAGTTTGAGATTTAAATTTTTCCTAACTTCAAATACCCTATCTTAAAGCAATGAATCGATTCTTTTACTGTCTATATTACATTTATGTTTTCAAATTTTAGCTTTATACATGTTGTAAATGCCTCAAAATTTCCTTGGAGTACAAAAACTTGCGTTAAAGATTACCCTTCATTCCACATAGTTGCCAAAGTATAATTTAAAAAGGGCTTAAATTCTTAGTTGTATTTCTAGATTTTTTGTTGAGTACAAAGCTTATCTAACAGTTTTAACCGAACTACTTGAATTTTGTGATCATTTGGGAGGCAGTATTCTATCATTGTAAGTATTTAATCAGGAAAATTAGCCTAGAATATTGGTAATTCATCGACATTAGAAGCTGAATAGGCATCAGTAGAACTCAAAAATGCCCATATAAGCAATAATAAAATTGGAATATTGAAAAAAATACATGCAGGCAAACAACGCACTCAGTAAAATTAAGAAATCAAGCTGTATCACGCAAACTTTGAAATAAGACTGGTTTAAAAACGAATCTTTTACAAAAATGATGAGTTACGGTGTAGTATGAAATAGTATTAAACGTATAGCTTACAATGTCGATGTTAGTAATTGCTAAAAAATATAATTATTATAGGTGCCAGACAACAACAACAAGTTATATCTGTAGTGATGAAATTTATTTTTTTACGTACTTAATGATAATAGGTAGCTAACTTGACAAGATTTCTACCGAAAAGTGATTTTACGTACTTTGCACCAGTGCCTACTTTTTGCGGTAACATACAAGTAGGTAGAATGATAATAAACAATTAAAATGGAAAACCGTGTTGATTTTTTGACTGGATAGTCAGTTTCATATGACATTGTAGTCTAATCATATTAGAGGAAAATACCCCTGGTTTACGAAATAATTGTAAAGTCTGGTTTTATTGCTGCAAGTTGTTCAAGGGGGTATTTTAAGCATGGACGCATGAAATGGGTACATCAGTTTTTGTGCGAAAACTTTTTATCCGACAACAAAGAATGAGAAAACGTGTTTTTTGGGATTCAATTGAAAGTGTTGGCAGGAATAATAAAACTCTTCATGTAAGATCTTTAGGTATTTATGATACCTACAAAATGAGACCACCCGTCAAAAGATCCGACTAATAGAAAAAAGTTATCGCCGAAAGCCGAGGCAAACTGCAGGTTTTGGCACTTGTTGGTAATGCGACGATGGTTTCTCGCAGATATTTGAAATTCTTCAAATTCGTAGGATTCGTACGAGTAAATAACCACAACAAAATTGGAGTAGATTGGTCGAGTAGTTTTTGAGAATTCCTAATTGTTTATCCCAAAACACCTGTTTTCCGGCCACCACTACTAGTTTATTGAGCAATATACATTGTTAGTTCAAAGTGCATTTTATAGCAAAATACACTAGTTTACCTTACCGATATTAATCGCAAACCATTCCGGAAGATGAATGTTATTTTTATTCAAAAGGATGTGTTAAGTTTTTTCTTCTAAACAAATTCAAACATTTCGTATTTGTGAGTAATTCACAACGAAATATGATGACATCCGCTTTGTTTTAAAATGTGTATAGTAACGCATGTTTTTCGCATTTGTTCATTTACCCACCAATACGAAACGTTTGAATTTGTTTAGAAGAAATAACGTAACAATGTTTTTCGCATAAAAATAAAATTTGTCTTTCGGAATTATTTGTGATTCATATCGGCAAGGTAAACACGTGTATTTTGCTATTAAATGCTCTTTGAACGAACCCTATATATTGCTCAATAAACAAGTGGTGATGGCCGAAAAACAGGTGTTTTGGAATAAACAATTAGAGATTTTCAAAAAACTACCTAACCAATATACTCCAATTTTGTTGTTGTTATTTAGAAGTATGAATCCTGCGGATTTGAAGAAATTATCGACGTATTACCAACATAATATATATATATATATATAACATTTTTGTTATTAGTGGGATCTTTTTACGTGTGGTCTCATTTTGTAGGTCTCATAAATACCTGCAAATCTTATGTGAAGTTTTTTCGTTCCTGTCAACACTTCCGATTGAATCCCAAAAAACACGTTTTCTCATTGTTTGTTGTCAAACAAAAAGTTTTTCCAGAAAAATTGGTGTACCCATTTTATACGTCCATGTTTTAAATAACCCCTTGAACAACTTGCACCAATTAAACCAGACATTACAATAATTATTTCGGGGAAATTTGGTAATATGATTAGACTATTGAGTATATCTCATGTTGAAATAGAATGCTAGTCTATGGCTTATACATATGATCTATTGTTAATCTACCTATTTTACTGTTTTGCAAAATTCGTATTTATATCCTTATTATATTTAAATTATTTTTAGCTATAACACTATAACAGCGCCTTAAGAAGATTCATAATAGTGGAAAAGATGTATTTAGTTTTAGTTTTGAAGGTTGAGGGAAATATACTTAGGTGCTAAATTCTGAGCTAAATATCGAATTCTGAGTATTTTAGGTTTATATTCACTTCATTTACGTACTGATTTACATTCCTTATTTAATTAAAATTAGATTATGATTATTTCACGAGTGATATATGATGGGGACTCAAGAACATTCAGATTGTTACACTATATCTGGTCAGATATGAAATTATGAGACTTTATAAGATGTTTTTCATCATTCTTCAGATATTTTTAAGTATTTTTGAGTCCTTGACATCATATGAATTCACTCTGTTACGCTGTCTGAGATTGCAAGCAGCCTGATATCACAGCAACTACAGTCAATTTTGGTCACAATATGG